TTTCCCAGTGTGAAGTCATTTGCGTATTTTAAGAACATGCAATGCATTATGCATATCTCGTTTTTGTTTAAAGAAATTATGCTTAGTATATTTAAAGATGTGAATGCCTGGGAAATTATAGAGGGAGAAATGTGGGATTATTTTTCCCTTTGAATCTTCTGGATTTTTCAAAATTTTCACATCTGCAGCCAGCTCCCTGGTGAGCTGGGCAGAGAAAGGAGGAAACCGGAGGGAGAATTCCTGCTTTGCCCTTTCCGGGCTGTTCTCAGCTGGTCTCTGCTCTCAGACTTCCAAGGCCTGTCTCCCACCCTCAGGGGAGAGAAAATCGCACAGGCCTTGGAAGCACAACCTCAGTTTCTCCTCCGAGTCATCCAGCCCGCCCCAACCATGGGGGCGCAGCGCCACCTGGAGGTCGCAGTGGAGACTGCAGTATTAAGAGGGCTCTCATCGTGAGTCCTGGAGCTGGAGAAAGGTATGACGAAGACACGAAGATGGTGAGCAATTTATGGCAAGCGTGCACAGAGCACCGCCCCATACCTAGGGAATGCATGAAGTACCTTAAATAACTAGGGATGACTCTGAGTGGGTGGGAACCTGCAGTTATGGTAATTTGTATATTACCATATTAATAGTTTGACCTCATTTGTACCCCCCAGGCCTAGGGAGCATTCAGGTAACAGATGCAAAGTGCCTGGCGCACAAAGTACTTAATAAATGCTTGTGGAGTTCAGATGCAGAATAGAGATATGAGAACCAGGTCCTCCAGAGCCATGGCCCAACGGTGGCAGAATCTGGATTTGAGGCCCCCAATGGGAGGTGATGGCTCCGGCGGAAGATTCGGGGCTCACCCAGGCCTGCTCAGCCCCTCTGCCCAACGCCAGTGCCACTGGCTCAGCCTCACGTGCCCCAGTCTCAGGGAAGGGAAATGCCAAGTCCCTTGCTGGCATCTGGAAAACAATAAGGCAGCTGCAGGGGAAGTGACTAATGAGCACTTCGGGGAGCAACTCGGGACATCATGCACGGAAACTCATCTCATTCAAAATTGATAAGTTAACGCTATCTAATTAGAGAGAAAATGTGCTGAGCTCCGGCTTTCTGAGAACGCAGTCCTGAGCTGTGGCACTCGGCTAGCTTGAAGAGGAGCCACCTTGCACCTCTCAGGCCGGCCTCAAAACTGCCCCCACCCCCGGACTCTTACCCACTCCCCATCTCATCGACATGCCAGATAGAGCTGAGTGCAGCAGAGCTGCTAATCCTACTCTCTCCTTTCACACACAGCACTGGGGTCCAGAGAGGTTAAATCACTTGATCAAGATCACCCAGCAATGCAGCCAGGACGAGAGAAAGCCAGCCTTGGGTCCCGATCCAGACTGCTTATCACCATCCAATGACATTGCCCTGACTTTCCTGTCTGGGGTCCTCAAAGCCCTGGATAGGTCACTGGACGTGGTGTCCCTCCTCTATAATTCATCTGTCTTGACTCCCAGGTCCTAAAAAAGGCCCTCCCCTCACTACTTACAACCAAGAAGTGGCTCTCATCTACGGTCCAAAAACCAACTCTTCCAGGCAGCCCTCCAGAACTGTTTTGCCCATACCTACTGTTTCATTCTCAGGTTTACTCATTCATTCTATGTCCATTCCATGGTTAGGAGCTTGGGCTCTGGAGTCAGACTGGCTGGGTTTAAATCCTATCCCTCTTGTGTACTTGGATAAGATGCTCGACTTTTCTGGGCCTCAGTTTCCTTTTATTTAAAGTAAAATGCAATATAATGCAAACACATACCTCACAAGGGAGCTCTGCTTACTGTGTAGTAACAAGTGTGCTGAAGACGTGGACAATGTGACCAAGAGCAGGAATAGAGGGCTGAGAATGTACTGTGGAATCTCAGAGGGTCACCTAACCCAGCCTAGATGGGGAGAGTCAGGGAAGATTTTCCGGAGGACACACCTAAATCTGTTTTACAGGGTGAGCAGATGTTAGCAAGGGGGAGAAAGAAGGACCAGGATTCCAGCGGCAGGAACCCACATGAGCCAGGGCAGAAAACAGCATGGCATGTTTAAGGAAACTCAACGGTTCATTCAGTGCCACCAGAGTCACAAGTGTGACAAGCTTGGGGAGGTGGCCAGGGGCTGAGTCAGGCAGGAAGAGCCAGGACCTGATCCTGCAGGTGGCAGGCCTGGAGATGGGCTTGAACCAGAGGGACATGGCTGGTTGGAGGTTTAAATAGATCACTCTAGACTCCATGATGTCTATTTTCTCTGCCCTTGGTTGGTTTGTTTCTAATGGTCAGGCCAGTCACAAAGGCCCCTTTCAACTACAGTATTCTGTGAACCACAGATATTCCCAGATACTGAGCTGCCACCCTGTCAAATAGGGATTACTCCTTTTCAAACAACCAGGACACATTGAAGCACAACTCTGAGCCCTTCGAGGGCAGGGACTGTGTCTTACGGTCTTGTATCTCCAGGCACAAAACACACATTGAGAAAATGTTTGTTAGGTGAATAAATGCCCATCCACAATACTAAACTTGGCAGGCCCTTCCTCTGTGCATCCCAGAGGCCCTGTGAGACCATCAGCACCGGATCCATGGCCCAATCCGAGCTTTCGTGGCCCAGGATCAGGGTTGCAAAGGGCGTCAGAGATCAGCCTCGTTAGTCATGTTGTTGTTTGCTTTTTAATTTTCCCATGGGTTGTTGCTTTTTAAATTTTCCATCAGAATTCTGGCTGAATTAGGGTTCTGGAGACTGCCTTCCAGCCCCTCCACCACTAGGACCAGCTGGGGGAGTGACCGGTGCTTCTCAGCTTGTAAAACGCGTTTGTGATAATACTCGGTTGTCTCATGGACAGCTTTCCTGTTTTGTCTCCCAGGTTTAATGTGATCAAAGGTTACAGGCTTTATAGGCAGATCAGACTGTAAACTGGTCACATACTCATAGAAGGGTAACGTGGCCTCCCCTTGCTGGTTTGCCCTAAGTATTAGCAACGATACCTGTGAAGGGCCTAACATTGCCTGGCTAGTGATAATGTGTGGCCACAGGCGAAGTGTAACCCCCCTGAGCCTCCCTGTTCTCATTTACTGAAGGGGAGTAACAATACCCACCATGTAGGACGGCTCCCATTAATGCAAATACAGTGCCCAGCGTGGACATTCAAAACCCCAGCAGCAACTATGCAAGATGATTCCTGCCTGACGCTGTCTGCCTGGGATTAAAGTGGCTGAGCACAGGGTTGATTTAGGGAAGACATAATTTGCAACAATCCCACGGTTGATTCAAAACTGATTTCCTCCCTCCTCTTCCCCGTCGCCCACCCATGCCAGCCTCGGTCCCACCTACCCGTCTAGGTCCCAGTCGATCCTCCTGGAGATGTGACGCTCCTAAAATGGAAGGTGGGAACTGCCACAGGTGATGGCTGAGCATGAGCCTCCGTCCCCACAGGCAAACCCAGCATCGGGGACAGGCCAGCCTCCGGAAGCAGGGACTGCGTGCTGCCTCCGTCTCCCAGGCGGGAACTGAGCTCAGTTCAGAGGAACATGCGAGACGGGAGAATTCGAGTTTGCCCAAGCATTGAGGTGTGCTGGGGAAAGCAGGCTGCCTGCCCTTCCGGTTCATCTCTTGATAGATTTCCTCAGGAAATCTACGCACGGGCGGAACTTGGATAGATGACCGCACAAATCCCCCTGGGCAGTTCATTCATCCTCGTTAAAAGCCGAACCCTCGCCACATCACTGCCAAAGAGACAAGAGAAAGGGGCAGCAGCAGCCGTCTTGGCGCTCGGAGGCCACTCCCACCGGGGCCCTGCCGTCCCACCGCTCCCGGACACCTCATGTGAAACCAGGTCCTCCCCCCTCAGCACTGGCAAGTGGGTTCTCACTTCTGCCCATTCCCCTAGAGTGGCCAGCAGTCCTCCTCTACTAGCTTGGGGAGCACGCACCTGTGGGGTGCTCCTGCCAGAGGGACATCATCGGCCCCACCACTGCTGAGCAGGAAGATTAGGAGCTTTGGAAACAGCGCGGGGTTTAAATTTGGACCCACCACTTACTGGCCCTGTGCCCTCAGCCGGTGAAGGGAGCCAGTGCTTCCTGCCTCCTCTGTACAGTAGAGACACCAGGACTCTGCCTGCAGGCGTTTTGTGAGGATGGAGTCACTTCAGAATTAAACTTCAGAACAGCAGATGGCACCAAGCCTGGCACACGGCAGTATTCACTCAACATTAGTTTCTTACTTGCTGCCCTCAACGTCCCACCCCCATCCCATTCTCCCAGCAGGTGAAATCTCACAGCCTTGGTGTTCAAAGACTTCTTCAAAGATGACTGCCTTAGCAAGGCCAGGTGTGACCCATGGCCTGGCTGTCCAAGATGACCCTTGCTTGGTCTCGCCAGATCCTCCCCAGGTGGCAAGCATCCCAGCCTTGGCATCACCAAGCTGCACGCCACCTGGGGGAGCCCCAAACCACGCAGAGCCGAGGAAGAGGACAACAGAGGCCTCAAAGTCCCCAGTTTTCACTGCGTCATGGCAGAGATTCAATCCCACTCTGGGGAAGCCTTGGCTTAGCCACTTAACGCTTGTTATCAAAGCAATAGGCTGGCCGGGTGCGGTGGCTCACGCCTGTAATCCTAGCACTCTGGGAGGCCGAGGTGGGCGGGTTGTTTGAGCTCAGGAGTTCGAGACCAGCCTGAGCAAGAGCGAGACCCTGTCTCTACTAAAAATAGAAAAAAATTAATCGGAC